TCAACTATAATGTCCTCCATATCTGAGGTCCTATATCTACTATAATGTCCTCTATATGTATCTGAGGAGCCTATATCTACTATAATGTCCTCCATGTCTGAGGTCCTATATCTACTATAATGTCCTCCATGTCTGAGGTCCTATATCTACTATAATGTCCTCCATATCTGAGGTCCTATATCTACTATAATGTCCTCCATATCTGAGGTCCTATATCTACTATAATGTCCTCTATATCTGAGGTCCTATATCTACTATAATGTCCCTCTATATCTGAGGTCCTATATCTACTATAATGTCCTCCATGTCTGAGGTCCTATATCTACTATAATGTCCTCCATATCTGAGGTCCTATATCTACTATAATGTCCTCCATGTCTGAGGTCCTATATCTACTACTATAATGTCCTCCATCCATATCTGAGGTCCTATATCTACTATAATGTCCTCCATATCTGAGGTCCTATATCTACTATAATGTCCATATCTCCATATCTCATGAGGTCCTATATCTACTATATGTCCTCCATATCTGAGTCCTATATCTACTATAATGTCCTCCATATCTGAGGTCCTATATCTACTATAATGTCCTCCATATCCTGAGGTCCTATATCTACTATAATGTCCTCCATATCTGAGGTCCTCCTAGGTCCTATATCTACTATAATGTCCTCCATATCTGAGGTCCTATATCTACTATAATGTCCTCCATATCTGAGGTCCTATATCTACTATAATGTCCTCCATCTGAGGTCCTATATCTACTATAATGTCCTCCATATCTGAGGTCCTATATCTACTATAATGTCCTCCATGTCTGAGGTCCTATATCTACTATAATGTCCTCCATATCTGAGGTCCTATATCTACTATAATGTCCTCCATATCTGAGGTCCTATATCTACTATAATGTCCTCCATATCTGAGGTCCTATATCTACTATAATGTCCTCCATATCTGAGGTCCTATATCTACTATATGTCCTCCATATCTGAGGTCCTATATCTACTATAATGTCCTCCATATCTGAGGTCCTATATCTACTATAATGTCCTCCATATCTGAGGTCCTATATCTACTATAATGTCCTCCATGTCTGAGGTCCTATATCTACTATAATGTCCTCCATATCTGAGGTCCTATATCTACTATAATGTCCTCCATATCTGAGGTCCTATATCTACTATAATGTCCTCCATATCTGAGGTCCTATATCTACTATAATGTCCTCCATATCTGAGGTCCTATATCTACTATAATGTCCTCCATGTCTGAGGTCCTATATCTACTATAATGTCCTCCATATCTGAGGTCCTATATCTACTATAATGTCCTCCATGTCTGAGGTCCTATATCTCTACTATAATGTCCTCCATATCTGAGGTCCTATATCTACTATAATGTCCTCCATATCTGAGGTCCTATATCTACTATAATGTCCTCCATATCTGAGGTCCTATATCTACTATAATGTCCTCCATGTCTGAGGTCCTATATCTACTATAATGTCCTCCATATCTGAGGTCCTATATCTACTATAATGTCCTCCATGTCTGAGGTCCTATATCTACTATAATGTCCTCCATATCTGAGGTCCTATATCTACTATAATGTCCTCCATATCTGAGGTCCTATATCTACTATAATGTCCTCCATATCTGAGGTCCTATATCTACTATAATGTCCTCCATATCTGAGGTCCTATATCTACTATAATGTCCTCCATATCTGAGGTCCTATATCTACTATAATGTCCTCCATATCTGAGGTCCTATATCTACTATAATGTCCTCCATATCTGAGGTCCTATATCTACTATAATGTCCTCCATATCTGAGGTCCTATATCTACTATAATGTCCTCCATATCTGAGGTCCTATATCTACTATAATGTCCTCCATATCTGAGGTCCTATATCTACTATAATGTCCTCCATATCTGAGGTCCTATATCTACTATAATGTCCTCCATGTCTGAGGTCCTATATCTACTATAATGTCCTCCATATCTGAGGTCCTATATCTACTATAATGTCCTCCATATCTGAGGTCCTATATCTACTATAATGTCCTCCATATCTGAGGTCCTATATCTACTATAATGTCCTCCATATCTGAGGTCCTATATCTACTATAATGTCCTCCATATCTCTGAGGTCCTAGGTATTCTACTATAATGTCCTCCATATCTCTGAGGTCCTATATCTACTACTGTCCAAAATATATCTAGTCCTCCATATCTGAGGTCCTATATCTACTATAATGTCCTCCATATCTGAGGTCCTATATCTACTATAATGTCCTCCATGTACTGAGGTCCTATATCTACTATAATGTCCTCCATATCTGAGGTCCTATATCTACTATAAATGTCCTCCATATCTGAGGTCCAGCATATCAGTGTTACTATAATGTCCTCCATGTCTGAGGTCCTATATCTACTATAATGTCCTCCATGTCTGAGGTCCTATATTCTACTATAATGTCCTCCATGTCTGAGGTCCTATATCTACTATAATGTCCTCCATGTCTTGAGGTCCTATATTCTACTATAAGGTCCTCCAGTCTGAGGTCCTATATCTACTATAATGTCCTCTGAGGTCCAATCTGCCAAAGGTCCTAAGGTCTACTATAATGTCCTCCATATCTGAGGTCCTATATCTACTATAAGTCCTGTCTGAGGTCCATCTCCATGTCCAGCCTTTCCTCTGAGGTCCTATATCTACTATACTTGTCCTCCATGATCTGAGGTCCTATATCTACTATAATGTCCTCCATGTCTGAGGTCCTATATCGGACTGCATAATGTCCTCCATATCTGTAGGTCCTATATCTACTATAATGTCCTCCATGAAGTCTGAGGTCCTATATCTACTATAATGCTCCCTCCATGTCTGAGGTCCTATATCTTCACACTATAATGTCCTCAGTCAGATATCTAGTCCTATATCTACTATATAATGTCCTCCATATCTGAGGTCCTATATCTACTATAATGTCCTCCATGTCTGAGGTCCTATATCTACTATAATGTCCTCTCATATCTGAGGTCCTATATCTACTATAACTGTCCTCCATATCTGAGGTCCTATATCTACTATACTGTCCTCCAATGTTTGTCTGAGGTCCTATATCTACTATACTGCAGTCCTCCATGTCTGAGGGTCCTATATGTACTCTGGGAGTCATATCTATATAATGTCCTCCATATCTGAGGGACTATAAGTCCTCATTTCAGCAGTGTGCGTACTTATTGTCTGAGGCTATAAACTATAATGTCCTCCATACCCTATATCTGACTATAATGTCCTCCATGTCTGAGGTCCTATATCTACTATAAGTCCTCCACACGGGGACCTTCTACTATAACTCTACGCATCAGGTCTGAGGCACATAGTATAATGTCCTCCTTGATCTGAGGCCTATATCTACTATAATGTCCTCCATGTCTGAGGTCCTATATCCTATAATGTCCTCCATGTCTGAGGTCCTATATCTACTATAGGTGTCCTCCATTGGTATCCATCTTGTGCTCTAATCTGAGGTCCTAGTATCTGTGAAGAGAATCTACTATAATGTCCTCCATGTCTGAGGTCCTATATCTACTATAATGTCCTTCCATATCTGAAGAGTCCTATATCTACTATAATGTCCTCCATGTCTGAGGTCCTATATCTACTATAATGTCCTCCATGTCCACCAGTCTGAGGTCCTATATCTATATAATGTCCTCCATATCTGAGGTCCTATATCTGATTATGTCCTCCATTGCTCTGAGGTCCTATATCTACATAATGTCCTCCATGTCTTTAATCTACATAATGTCTCCAGATCTGACCTGTATCTCTATAATGTCCTCCTTCAGAGTGGTAGTCTTTACCAGGCCAACTATGAATAATTCCTCCATGGTCTGAAACCACCTACTATAATGTCCCTCCATTCTGAGGTCCTGTATTACATAAACAATTGTGTCATTTAGTTGAGGTCCTATATCTACAACGTCCTTGTCTGAGGTCCTATGAATACTATAATGTCTTCCATGTCTGAGGTCCTATACTACTATAATGTCCTCCATAATCTGAGGTCCTGTATATCTACTATAATGTCCTCCATGTCTGAGGTCCTATATCTACTATAATGTCCTCCATATCTGAGGTCCTATATTCTACTATAATGTCCTCCCATATCTGAGGTCCTATATCTACTATAATGTCCTCCATATCTGAGGTCCTATATCTACTATACTCCATAATGTCCTTATCCATATCTGTCCTCCATGGTCTGATATCTATCTACTATAATGTCCTCCATGTCTGAGGTCCTATACTACTATAATGTCCTCCATGTCTGAGGTCCTATATCTACTATAATGTCCTCCATATCTGAGGTCCTATATCTACTATAATGTCCTCCATATCTGAGGTCCCTATATCTACTATAATGTCCTCCATAATCTGAGGTCCTATATCTACTATAATACTGTCCTCCAGTCTGAGGTCCTATATCTACTATAATGTCCTCCACAGCTGAGGTCCTATATCTACTATAATGTCCTCCATAGTCTGAGGTGGAATATCTCTATAATGTCCTCCACAGTCTGAGGTCCTATATCTACATAATGCCAACCACATCTGAGGTGGGAAGGTCTACTATAATGGCACAGCTGAGAGTCCAGATCTGGTGAGTGCCTAATTCTACTATAATGTCCTCCAGGTCTGAGTACTATATAGTCTACTATAGAGTCCTCCATAAGGTCATGCCAACCCCATGTCCTCTAGAGTCCATCTGAGGTCTAGTATCCAACCATAAGAGTCCAGAAGGTCAGTCTGAGGCCTATATCTACTATAAGAGTCCTCCATATCTGAGGTAGAGTCCTAAGGGTGCCATTCTCTATAAGGTCCAGAAGCACAGTGCCAACCAGGTCCTATATCCTACAACCACATAATGTCCCCCAGTCTGAGGTCCTATATCTACTAACCCAGTCTGAGAGTCCCATAATAGGCACAGAGGTCCTACCATTCTACTATAATGTCCTCCAGTCAGGGAGGTGCCAACCCCTCTATATAATAGGCTCCAGCACAGGGATGGTCCAACCATCACTATACTGGCCAGTCCAGGGATGGTCAGTGCCAACCACAGCTAGAGTCCAGGGATGGTATGGAACCCCTCATAATGGGCACAGCACAGGGATGGTGGGAACCCCTCATAATGGGCACAGCGGGTGTACAGACACAGGAACTCAGTACAGGGATGGTGGGAACCCCTCATAATGGGCACAGGAGAGGGATGGTGGGAACCCCTCATAATGGGCACAGCACAGGGATGGTGGGAACCCCTCATAATGGGCACAGCGGGTGTACAGACCCAGGAACTCAGTACAGGGATGGTGGAACCCCTCATAATGGGCAAAGCACAGGGATGGTGGGAACCCCTCATAATGGGCACAGCACAGGGATGGTGGGAACCCCTCATAATGGGCACAGCACAGGGATGGTGGGAACCCCTCATAATGGGCACAGCACAGGGATGGTGGGAACCCCTCATAATAGGCACAGCAGGGGTGTACAGACTAAGGAACTCAGTACAGGGATGGTGGGAACCCCCTCATAATGGGCACAGCACAGGGATGTGGGAACCCCTCATAATGGGCACAGCACAGGGATGGTGGGAACCCCTCATATTAGGCACAGCACAGGGATGGTGGGAAACCCCTCATAATAGGCACAGCACAGGGATGATGGAACCCCTCATAATGGGCAAAGCACAGGGATGGTGGGAACCCCTCATAATAGGCACAGCACAGGGATGGTGGGAACCCCTCATAATGGGCACAGGGATGGTGGGAACCCCTCATATTAGGCACAGCACAGGGATGGTGGGACCCCTCATAATGGGCACAGAGGGTACAGACCCAGGAACTCAGCACAGGGATGGTGGGAACCCCTCATAATGGGAACAGCACAGGGATGGTGGACAACCCTCATAATAGGCACAGGATGGTGGGAACCTCTCATAATGGGCACAGGCACAGGGATGGGGAACCCCTCATAATAGGCACAGGGATGGTGGGAACCCCTCATAATAGGCACAGGGATGGTGGGAACCCCTCATAATAGGCACAGCACAGGGATGGTGGGAACCCTCATATTAGGCACAGCACAGGGATGGTGGGAACCGCTAATAATGGGCACAGCACAGGGATGGTGGAACCTCCTCATAATGGGCACAGCACAGCGATGGTGGGAACCCCTCATAATGGGCACACAGGATGGTGGGAACCCCTCAAATATGGGCACAGCACAGGGATGGTGGGAACCCCTCATAATAGGCACAGCACAGGGATGGTGGGAACCCCTCATAATAGGCACAGGGATTGTGGGAACCCCTCATAATGGGCACAGCACAGGGATGGTGGGAACTCCTCATAATGGGCACAGCACAGGGATGGTGGGAACCCCTCATAATAGGCACAGCACAGGGATGGTGGGAACCCCTCATAATGAGCACAGCACAGGGATGGTGGGAACCCCTCATAATAGGCACAGCACAGGGATGGTGGGAACCCCTCATAATAGGCACAGCACAGGGATGGTGGGAACCCCTCATAATAGGCACAGCACAGGGATGGTGGTGGAACGCTAATAATGGGCACAGACAGGGATGGTGGGAACCCCTCATAATGAGCACAGCACAGGGATGGTGGGAACCCCTCATAATGAGCACAGCACAGGGATGGTGGAACCCCTCACAAAGGGCACAGCACAGGACAGGGATGGTGAGAACCCTTCATAAAGGGCACAGGACAGGGATGGTGGGAACCCCTCATAAAGGGCCAGGTAGGAGTGACCCTCATATGTACATCAAGTTGACTGTCACAATGCATCATAACACAGATGGGATGGTGGGTAATGTCATGCTCAGGTGCAGATGAGGCTCATTGCAGCGATCACTACCCTAAGGGCCCCTCATATCCCTCTTCCTGATTGGTTCCTGCGGTCTCATGAATTTAGAAGTGTATGGGGGGTGACTTCAGGGCGTGGCACCGCCTATGGCAGGATCCAGGCCACGCCTCCCCTATGGGAAGTATCTGAAATAAGAACTGTCAGGGATGTGGCAACCAGCCAATCACAATCCTGCAGGATCGGATTCTTCCTCTGATGGTCGCTGGGGTATTCTCTATGATGGGTTGTGTTGGCCTCCATAGTCCCGGACACACACCCCAGGACCACAAATCCATCCTTTCTTCTGCCTGTAATCCATTTATCTCCATCATGCCCCTCATAGGTGGTGTGGAAGGTCAGGTGACCAGCACTGGCTCTGTGGGGGCCGGCCTTGTAATCCCTCCTCAGTACTGGGTGCTGCAGTTAATCCTGGTGCCATCTTGTGGCTGAAAATCATACTGCAGATCCATCCACACCTGCACAGGGACTGGGAAAACCATAACAGGGGGAGGGGGGTCATGTAGGGTCAGGTCCCCCCCACAGTTCATATACTACCATAGACCTGGGGGGTCATGTAGGGTCATGTCCCCCCACAGTTCATATAATACCATAGACCTGGGGGGGTCATGTAGGGTCATGTCCCCCCCACAGTTCATATACTGCCATAGACCTGGGGGGGTTATGTAGGGTCATGTCCCCCCCACAGTTCATATACTACCAGAGGACTGGGGGGTCATGTAGGGTCATGTCCCCCCACAGTTCATATACTACCATAGACCCGGGGGGTCATGTAGGGTCATGTAGGGTCATGTCCCCCCACAGTTCATATACTACCATAGACCTGGGGGGGGTGGGGTCATGTAGGGTCATGTCCCCCACAGTTCATATAACTGCCATAGACCGGGGGGTCATGTAGGGTCATGACAGGGTCCCCCCCACAGTTCATATACTGCCATAGATGGACCTCATGTAGGGTCATGTAGGGTCATGTCCCCCCCCAGTTCATATACTACCATAGACCTGGGGGGTCATGTAGGGTCATGTCCCCCCACAGTTCATATACTGCCATAGACCCGGGGGGGTCAGGGTCAGGGTCATGTAGGGCCCCCCCAGTTCATATACTACCATAGACCTGGGGGGGTCATGTAGGGTCATGTCCCCCACAGTTCATATACTACCATGGGGGGGGGGTCATGTAGGGTCATGTCCCCCCACAGTTCATATACTACCATAGACCTGGGGGGTCATGTAGGGTCATGTACCCCCACAGTTCATATACTACCATAGACCTGGGGGGGGTCATGTAGGGTCATGTACCCCCCCACAGTTCATATACTGCCATAGACCTGGGGGGGTCATGTAGGGTCATGTCCCCCCCACAGTTCATATACTGCCATAGACCTGGGGGGGGGGTCATGTAGGGTCATGTCCCCCCCCACAGTTCATATACTACCATAGACCCGGGGGTCATGTAGGGTCATGTCCCCCCACAGTTCATATACTGCCATAGACCTGGGGGGGTCATGTAGGGTCATGTCCCCCCCACAGTTCATATACTACCATAGACCTCGGGGGGGGGGTCATGTAGGGTCATGTCCCCCCCCCACAGTTCATATACTACCATAGACCTGGGGGGGGAGGGGGGGGGGTCATGTAGGGTCATGTCCCCCCACAGTTCATATACTACCATGTAGACCTGGGGGGGTCATGTAGGGTCATGTCCCCCCACAGTTCATATACTACCATAGACCTGGGGGGGTCATGTAGGGTCATGTCCCCCCACAGTTCATATACTACCATAGAGACCTGGGGGGGTCATGTAGGGTCATGTCCCCCCACAGCTCATATACTACCATAGACCTGGGGGGGTCATGGGGTCATGTAGGGTCATGTTCCCCCACAGTTCATATACTACCATAGAGACCTGGGGGGGTCATGTAGGGTCATGTCCCCCCCCCCCCCACAGTTCATATACTACCATAGACCAGGGGGGGTCATGTAGGGTCATGTCCCCCACAGTTCATATACTACCATAGACCTGGGGGGGGTCATGTAGGGTCATGTCCCCCCCACAGTTCATATACTACCATAGACCTGGGGGGGTCATGTAGGGGTCATGTCCCCCCCACAGTTCATATACTACCATAGACCCTGGGGGGGTCATGTAGGGTCATGTCCCCCCCACAGTTCATATACTACCATAGACCTGGGGGGGTCATGTAGGGTCATGTCCCCCCCACAGTTCATATACTACCATAGACCTGGGGGGGTCATGTAGGGTCATGTCCCCCCACAGTTCATATACTACCATAGACCTGGGGGGGTCATGTAGGGTCATGTCCCCCCCACAGTTCATATACTACCATAGACCTGGGGGGGTCATGTAGGGTCATGTCCCCCACAGTTCATATACTACCATAGACCTGGGGGGGTCATGTAGGGTCATGTCCCCCCACAGTTCATATACTACCATAGACCTGGGGGGTCATGTAGGGTCATGTAGGGTCCATGTCCCCCCACAGTTCATATACTACCATAGACCTGGGGGGGGTCATGTAGGGTCATGTCCCCCCACAGTTCATATACTACCATAGACCTGGGGGGGTCATGTAGGGTCATGTCCCCCCACAGTTCATATACTGCCATAGACCTGGGGGGGTCATGTAGGGTCATGTCCCCCCCACAGTTCATATACTACCATAGACCTGGGGGGGTCATGTAGGGTCATGTCCCCCCACAGTTCATATACTACCATAGACCTGGGGGGGTCATGTAGGGTCATGTCCCCCCACAGTTCATATACTACCATAGACCTGGGGGGGTCATGTAGGGTCATGTCCCCCCCACAGTTCATATACTACCATAGACTAGGGGGGGTCATGTAGGGTCATGTCCCCCCCACAGTTCATATACTACCATAGACCTGGGGGGGTCATGTAGGGTCATGTCCCCCCAGTTCATATACTACCATAGACCTGGGGGGGGGTAGGGTCATGTAGGGTCATGTCCCCCCACAGTTCATATACTACCATAGACCTGGGGGGTCATGTAGGGTCATGTCCCCCCCCCCACAGTTCATATACTACCATAGACCAGGGGGGGGTCATGTAGGGTTATGTCCCCCCACAGTTCATATACTACCATAGACCTGGGGGGGGGTCATGTAGGGTCATGTCCCCCCCACAGTTCATATACTACCATAGACCTGGGGGGGGTCATGTAGGGTCATGTCCCCCCACAGTTCATATACTACCATAGACCTGGGGGGGTCATGTAGGGTCATGTCCCCCCCACAGTTCATATACTACCATAGACCTGGGGGGTCATGTAGGGTCATGTCCCCCCCACAGTTCATATACTACCATAGACCTGGGGGGGTCATGTAGGGTCATGTCCCCCCCCACAGTTCATATACTACCATAGACCTGGGGGGGTCATGTAGGGTCATGTCCCCCCCCCAC